ATCGAAGGAATGTAATCTTAAGAATATAAATCAAGGTACAACTAATTGTAATACATTAGACTTCAAAGATAAATTCAGTACTGTGAGATAGTGAAATAATCCATATCATCTAACAGAGTATGATAATGGAATTATCCTTATCTTCTAACAGTTTGTCACAGTGTTTTTTCATTTTTCTGTTATGGTTTTATCCAACTCATATACATATATATAGCTGTCGTTATATATATATATCTTCATACATCTTTTCATCTTTCGTTCTCTCTTTCTTTCCTTTAATAAAGATACCTTTTCCGAAGATCGTATTTTATTGAATATTAAGACGTGGCAACTACCATTGAGATATGGACTTTTTACTAGAAATTTTCTATATAGCCCCATTTTCTTCATATAAATCAAAGTTTCAGAATTTTTGAGCCGAATATTCTCGACATATTAGTCTGTTAGCGTAAAAAGTTCTTTTATAGATATTTTTGTATGCATAGATATTTCAAAAATATTATATCTCGCGAATGCTTAATCCAAAAATTCTGAAACTTTGTGGATAAGCTTCTCTGGTTAAGGATTTGACATGGGCAAAGGTTTACGCTAAACTTCGATTTTACAGAGAGAATAAAGTCCGAAAGGAAAATTCTGGTAAAAACTTGATATCTCAATTTGCGCCCATGTCCTTTCATAGGCTTTTTCCAATCTGTGTATTCCATATTTATGGGCAAAACTTGAGTTTAAAAGCTTTTTGACACCTCGAATGGTTCTTTCGTAAGCTAGAATTATAGAAATATGTTGTATTGAGATATGATCAAATCATATCAATAAATTTTCAGCTTTTTCAGTTCTGATTTATTTTTTTCAATTAAACTTAAAAAGTATATTTAAGCAAATTAACTCTAATTATCTTTTTTTTCGAGATAATTGATCTTTCCTAACTGTCACATTAAGATATATTTATTATTTTGATAGATAGTCATGAACTCTTCGTAAATAACATTTTAATCTTCAAACTTGATGAAAATCAAATAGATTTATCATTATTAAAAAGAAATATAAAACTCTTATGATGTTCACTTGTATAAATATTCAATTTTTAGTAAATACAAATTCACTATGGCTTCTAATAAAATTGATGATCTTCTTCAATGTCCAATTTGTCTTGAAGTTTTCTATGATCCCAAAGTCCTCGATTGTCAACATACTTTTTGTAACAATTGTTTAAAAGTACATTTAGCAGCATCAGCAAGAATGTTTAGTACAACAAATTCAGTTGAGTGTAAGTATTTACGATCTTCAATTCTATTTAATTGCTATTATTATCTATTTATCAAGGTCCTATATGTCGTCGACGAACAAATTTAATTAATAATTCCATTGATAGTCTTCCTGGAAATTATATCGTACGTGATATAATTGAACGTCAATATGGCACTGCAAGTCCTGAACGCCCACCTGGTTATACTCAACAAATTCGTGATCGAATACAAAAACTACAAAATGGCGAAGAAAAAGAAAAAGAAAAAGAAAAGGAAGAGGAAACTGATTATATGGAATATTTAAAACCTGCAGCTGCGGCTCTTGTTGGTGTACTTGGTGGTTTACTTTTAGCAAAAGGTGTTAAAAAATTATCTGACAATAATAAAAAACATGATGGACATTGAAGATAAATGATTATACATCAATTTCTTTTTTTTTGTTTTCCTTTCACTTCAGCAATGATTAAGTATTTAATAAATAAAATGTAAAAAGAAATCTAAATTCAATAACGTAGATAAACAAGTTACAAAAAATATGAATGTTTTGATTATATTGAAAAAAGAAACAATTCAATTAAAGTCTATTTATTTAAAAAAAAGTATTATTAGTAAAAACTGCATAGATTTTTTAAACAAATGTCGACGGTAAGTTTAAAATTATCAAGAGAATAATATATATGTATTTGGGGGTCAATATTAGAATATTGTCGGTTTCGACTAAAAAACTTACTTAAAAACCAGTAAGGGAAATAGGTAAAAGGCTAAGACTGGTAGTGAGGGTGAGTGTGTCGTATAGGATTCAAGTGTTATTCTATTTGAGACCGCCAGAATTCTCATAGACAATGAGGTTTTGACTGAAACTCAAGTTTCAGGCGATTATTCACTCTCACCCTCACTATTAGTCTTGGTCTTTTACCTGTTTCCCTTGCTGGTTTTTAACCCAGTTTTATAGTTGAAACTGACAATATTCTAATTTTGACCCTAACATGTATAGGCATCCAAGGAAGATAAAGTGGATCCTACAATATCTCATAAAAAGCTTG